TCAAGTATGCATTTCAAGTCGTGTATTATAAACCATAATCTCTTGGAGGGAGAGCATGATACTTGTGTATAGATCTATACGGGATTGACAATCCCGCACCTACACTGTTAGCTACAGTTAGACCGGTAAGTCTGGGGTGACAAATGTCATAACACTACAACACCTGAAGAATGTTGTTATAGGCAGTCTGTGTCAATAACATTGTTATAAGACTCACACGGAAGTATAAAAACAAGCTTGATTTACGAGACTCATGAATGCATTCAATATTTACATTATTTTGAGAAAAATTCATCTTATTCATTTAAAGTACGAAAGATACTAACGCCCTCCAACTTTGGGAACTTTTCAAACGATATGTGGAAAATATTGGATTTTCTGGAAACTATGTTCATCTATTTTCTCCCAAAAAGACATACTTTTTCAATACAAAAATACTTATGAACTCACCAACTTTATTGTTGACATTTTTTCGAAACCACTTGTATTTCTCAGGGAATCAGTAATACAAGTAACTACCAACTTTTGAAGAAAGAACGCTAAGGCGTTTATTATCAAACATTTTGAATCATCATATTGTAATATTCCTTTGGAAACATGTATAACGCAACAATGTACGTTTTTTATATATATGATGGTTGTGTTACTTTCTTTACGATATTCAATTGTTATGGTACTACGTGAAGTCATCCACCCCCGAATGTTTCCGCCATTTTGGTTTAGGGGTGTGACAGATTGGTATCAGAGCATTGTTTATAGTGAACTAAGTATATCAAACCACATAAGATATACAAACTATAAATGCAAAAGAGGACCAAAAACCCTCTGACAACACGTTTTCATCCACAATATATATATATATATATATATATATATATATATATATATATATATATATATATATATATATATAAATATACATTTTTATACGCATGCATCAGTCTCGTATCATAACAAAGTTTTCTAAAAAGTATTAAGGCAAGTTGCAAAACTATGATTGGGCCTCGAGGTATGTAATCAAATCGAGAATAAATATAGCCTGATCAACTATATTTATCTTGGATTTGACCAACGTATGTCGAAGAATGGTCCTAGTGAACAACAAGTCAAAAACTTACCAAATAAAAAATTTCTAAACTTGCAAATTCGAAATACTATCGGATTATTGTTATAAAATATAAGGACAATGAAAAACCTGCATACCACAAGGTATAGTTAAACTTAGGATGTCGTTAAATAGACATTTCTTTTCTTATAAAATTCTTGTACCTCCATCCTAGTACAGACAAAATGGCCGGATTCCATATACCGGGAGATCCCTACTACCCAAACCAAGGTAACAGTGGATGGATAGAAGAAGATCCAGAAGAAGACCCAGAGGAAATCGAAGAGGAATTCGAAGTCGAAGAGGAAGAAGAGCCTATAGAGGAGGAAGAGGAAGTTACGGATGGAACAGACTCCGAGCCGGAAGTAATCAACCCTCCCGATCCTCGTCCTCCTGAAGTTAGAATGGGATACCAAGGTCCCATTCCCATTTGGGGAAGCCATCTCTACCATTGGAGTCGTTAACTAGGTGTACGCCCTCCCTTCGACATGTGTCGGGAGTTTTACAATGTCAGTGGGGGAGGCTCAGCCGATCGAGCGCCTCCCGTTCTTGTGGGCACAATAGCCACCCAGAACTACCATTCGGACTTGCAAGAGGCCAGAATTCGTGAGATCAATGCTGCTACACAGGGTAACACCGCTGACATCCGTCGTCTGGATGGACTACACGAAGATAGATTTCATCTTAGAGGTTGTTCTCAAGTTGTCTAGTCCACGACCAATTCCCTCCGAGAGGCTTTTCGTGGCCTAACACCCTAGCATCATATCATTCTACTTACTAATTCAACTAGATTCCTTCCAAGAGGCTTTTCTCTACCTGACTAGTCCATAACTACTTCTTTGAGAGTCTTAACGTGGTCTAACATCCTAAAATTACATAGTCCACATAATAAAAGATTTTATGAAAGCTAACTTAAATAGCTAATAAGATGTGTTCGTACAACAAACTTAGTGACACCAAAACTTCCATGAACCACTACACATTCATTTAACCATAATTTAGCAACTAAGGTTTAATACTTAACTTCCTATTATGGTCTTGGTTAGGGTTTTTTTTCCTAATTCTATTAAGCAAAAGACCAAATTGTCTCTCAACACATCATTTAAGGTCAAAATCCACCCCCAGATAACTAAAAGTTTAACTTGTCAAAAAGACAACATTCAACAATCAATTGACACGATGTCGCGATCCAGTTTCTAGCTGCATCGCAATCAAGTCATGAAAAAACACTCGCAAGACCCATTAATTTTTCTATGACGTGACCAATCTTTAGCCGCATTGCGTTTCACCTAGCAGAACACTCTTAAATCATTAAGAACTTAATCTTTACAAACCAGGCCTTAGATTCCCATATTTGATTCTCTCTAGTGACTTAATGGATAAAGTTTCCAACGTTTTCCATTTTTATGGCTAGATTAAACCAAATCTAAAACCCTAACTTGATTAAATCCATAAAATCTTATAATCTTGTGCATGATTCCAAAAGAACCTATGCATACTTATTTTTCTTCTTCCTATAGTCCAGAAACATGCCCATTTGTAATTTAAAGTTCTAGAGTTGCGGAAACTCTAAGAACATAAGGTCAAAATGATTAAAAGCAACCAAAAAGCCAAAAGACAACCTAGATCTACAATATTCTGGAGTAAAGAAATAAACTTGATAACTTACAATTCTTAAGAGAAGAGTAGAATGTAGATTCTTCACTGAAAATCAACTCTCCAAGCTAAATAACTTTCCTTTTTCTTCATAATCTCTTTAAAAACTTCATAAAGTCTCTAACAAGCAAAATAGGGATAGGGTTTCGTTTGGGAGGAAGGAGGCTACGGTTTATAGAAATCTTAGAGGTTAGCATTCTTTAAATAAGGCTCAAGGCCTAAGTTTTAAGGTTTTGGGCACTGGTTGCACTGTAACGTGTGCCATTAAACCAGCATGTCGCTACTTATTAATGTATACTGCGTCGCGACCTTCATTAAGTCGCGGCGCAACTTCGCCAAAAACCACAAAACTCAAAACTTAACTGTTCAACAAGAAATCAACTCATACCTAAAAAGTAGGGTCGAGCGTTACATTATATTACAAATAAATATTTTTTTAAACTAGATATTTATTGATTTTTATGCTATTAAACAAAACATAGTTAGTTTAAAAACATTATTAATTTATCAACATGATCATGGATGAAAACATTACAAAATTCACTATATTTTGGTATATTTTGGACAATTATTACAAAATCTCTATATTTTGGAAACTTCTTAAAATCTCTATATTTTTAATAACTATCACAAAGTCATAATATTTATGCTTTTTTTTTTTTTTTTTTGACATCTAGAATATGATGACATCAAATAGTATCATATCAACTTGTCACGTAATCAAAACTGACACACCAAAATGTTCTGAATAATCGGTTATATGGTTAGAATTATAATAAATTTATGAAATAAATATGTAATTTAATAATAGAAAAAACACAGTACCACAATCCATTTTTTGTAAAAATGTTATAAGGAATTTTTCATTTTAATAATATAATAATAGCTGAGGTAGACAGGGTGTCAAGGTAATATTTATTGATTAGAAATGATATACCTATTTATATTTTTTTATTAATCCATTAAAAAATTAAATTGATTTTTATACTTTTTATTTTAATTAAAAAGAAAAGAGTCATAACGATGGTTGTTAAAATTAAAACGTGCCCATATCTGCTCTCATACCCTACGTGTCCATGTTTTCATCTCTAATTAGAAAATTCAAGATTTATTGTAGAAAATACAGTAATTTGTCTAGAGCCAATTTAAACGAAATTCTATCATATTAATGAAATTAATAACTGTTAGCAAGATAATAGCATCAATCAAATTTATAATCTAGAGCGGATTCTTTATGGTATGAACCAATCCATGCATGTTCTTACGAACATTTCCCGTTGGTTTGTTTTCACATTCAAGAAAGTACGAAGAAGATGCTGTTAAAAGTGGCTAGGTCATGTTTATCTTATCGGAAGGCTTTAGTAATTGTCTTTGAGAAAAGAAAAGTTTTATAAGAAATACTTCCATTAGTATTTCATTGGAGTGAAAATTTGTATATATTTTTAACTTACTACCAGTGATTTCCACTCCCAACCATACAAGATTTATAAAACCCAGGGACCATATTTCTAAAAAAAATTAAAAAATACTGAAATATATTATGGCGTTTGATAAATCAAAGGGGAATTTTGTCTTGTTTATATCATTTTTTTCTTGTTTTCTTTAATCTGCTTGCACAGTAGTGGGAGAATACATGATGTATTTTCACTGTTTATTTTTCAAGTCTCTTTTTCATTTCTCTTTGATCGTATCATGTAAAGGAAAAGACATCATCCTTTTGTTGATATCGAATATAAAAATGTAAATATTCAACATACAACATATAACTAGTAGTGATCAAATTACAATGACGTCATAAGTGATATTCTCCCAAACATGGAGGACCATAATGGTGTTTATAAGTGGGAAATAGAATTTTGGTGGTTGGAGTACTTGGGACTTGAATATCATAAATTATTTTCGGTTCCTAGAAAAAATCATATGATAAAATGAAAGTAATCACTCCTAGATATTTTGTTCCAACTGATCTTTTAGATCAAAATACATGTCTTATTGGCAATGCTTAAATTAAATATAGGTTTGTAATACCGTTTTTTATATAACGATTGCTTCTGAAACTTAACGAGTCGAACTGGTAGCCATTGTTTCGAAAAAACTTGACCGGTACATTAATACAATAATTGTCTGGAAACTCTTTTGATGCATGTGGGTCCCACAAAGTTTCTTGATTGGAGAAAAAAGTAATTTTTTTTAGCTTTAATAAATCACTTGCATCCAATCTTTGTTGGTTTGCTGCCATCATAAAAAGGCCAATTAGTGTGAAGTGTGAACATATATGCATTACTTGCAGCTATAAAACCAGTCCAACGATTCCATAGCTTCTGAAGCCAGGCGTGATGGAATTCAACCCTAGTTCGTCGTCTTCTAGGGTTGACCGAAGAACTGTTGAGAAGAACAGAAGGATTCACATGAAGGCCCTCTATTCCAAGCTCCACTCTCTTGTTCCTCACAACTCTTCTAGGGTTTTACTCTCTCTCTCTCTCTCTCTCTCTCTCTCTCTCTCTCTCTCATGTATGTTCTGTAAGTATACCATACATCCATAGAAACTGACCATGGAATCGGGAACCACAGTACTCTAGAAACAAATTTTTTAGTTTCTATCCATCTGAGTACACGTCTTTTTTATCATTCTTTAGGTAACACACAAGTCACAAGTGTAAGATAATTACAATTATCTTGGATATTCCAACCACTAAATTTATCAACCAAGAGTCTTGCGAATTTCTTTTTAACATTTAGGATAAATTTTCTACAAATGATGTCGTTTACGGTTTGAAATACTCAACTCTAAACATACCTGTAAAAATCTTTAATTTTACATAGCTGGACTTGTTTAATAACTGGTGACATGTTAAAACTCGTGCGTTACAAAAAAATGAAAAAATTAAAGAATTAATCTCTTTCGTTTGAAATATAAGCCTCACCATCCTCATGGGCATTCAAGAATGCCGAAATTCAGCCACTAAAACCAAAGGCCATATGGCCCAAAGGTATCAAATGTTGTTGGAAAGGTGTCCTCGTGATATATGTTGACAGATTTAGGGGATGTCCGGATGTGGGTAAGCCATTCAAAAATAAAATAAAATAAGAACGTAAAGAGATCTTTTGGGGCTAATTTGCAGTGTTTAGGGCAAAATCTTGAAGTTTTTTGATATCTTTTGGTGGGTTTAATGGTTTTCCCCCATGTTAATTACTTTTTACTCTTGTAAATGCTGCAGGAAGTGATATCACTGCCAGATCAACTACAAGAAGCTGCAAATTACATAAAGAAATTGCAAATAAAACTGGAGAAAATGAATGAAGAAAAAGATAATTTGATGGGAATCCAAACACTGGAAATTAATCACGAAGACAAAATAAAAAACTCGAATTTGATGGTGGGGCAACAAAGAATACCACATATTGATGTTCGTGGAACTGGCTCGTCTCTTGAAGCAATTCTCGTAACGGGGGTTGATTTTCAGTTCTTGTTCAGTGATACGATTCAAGTGATTCATGAAGAAGGCTTCGATGTCATCAATGCCACTTTTTCGATCGTCAATGATACTGTTTTTCATACCATACATGCTCAGGTACATACTTTAATTTCTATACAATTAAACATGCCATCCGTTTAGGATTTTTAGATTCTTAATTAATTGGTTCTACCATTTTGAACATATGAGCGATATATATTTGAATCTTTTTGCATGCATGTATACATAATTGGAAAAAGAATTTTTAAGAAAGTATCTATTATTGTTGAATCAATCTAGAAATTGACAAGTGCAAACGAATGTTTCTGTTGGATTCACAATTTTATTTTTAAAATTTAAATACAATTACATTTTTAATAGGAATGATATTGAAATAAATAAATAAATAAATAAATAAAACTATAACTAGATAAAGATTTTGTATTTTGTCGTAATTGAGGGTCTTTTGAGTGATACGAATGAATTAGCTAGTGATCGTTTCAAACTAACTGTAGTGTTTATTAATAAGACAACTAAAGTAGGGCATGGTAAGCGAATTTAGAAATTTAAAACAATTGTTCTGCAAAGAAACATACGATGATTATAATCGGCCGTTTTGGCATATTACAATGTTTCTTTTATCATTTCACTACAATGATTCTCTCCAATGTTTCTTCTTTATCATTTCACTACACTATACCGTGATGATTTAAATAAATGTTATATTCATTTGAAACAGTTTATGTATTGATCAATGTCTTAAATGGTGCAAATTTACAGATTGGAGAGAATTATGCTCAGGAAAATGGTGTTTCAAGGATCAAAGAGAAACTCATGAATAGTATCGCGTATGGCATTTGATTCTTACTTTTGTGCACCTGAAATTGTTGAGAAGATGTTAGTTGGCATATGTATGGTTAGGATCTAGTCTGTCAATATATCCACTTATAAATTGGAATATATCCTAATCCTCTATCTAATAATTATTTGGATATTTGCTTTCATTAAATGCTAAGAAATTAATATCGGAACCATGAAACTTTTGCAACAATATATATATATATATATATATATATATATATATATATATATATATATATATATATATATATATACACACACTAGGCGTATACCCGCTCGTTGCGCATAAACATTTATATAACTAAAATATTTACCAATATATGTTTTTTTTAATATAACAATTATGTGGTTATTAAATTTGATATAATAATTCTTATACTAAATTGATATAATATATTGATTAATTTGAATTATATGATAATATATACATCTATTAAAACCGCATAATCTCAATCTTTTAAATGGTTTCTACCCGTGAGTTATTTATGAATAAAATTAAATATAATATATGGTTTAATGTTATTTATAGTTGATGTTATTGTTAATTTTTTTTTAAAATTTATTTACTTAACTTTTTAATTTATATCGTTGTAATTATTTAAATCAAACAATTTTTTTTTTTTATTTTAAAGGTAACAATATAATCATTTATATAGAGTTATTTTTAACTATTGTTAATGTAAGTTATTTTAAGCTACTTATTTGAAAACTTTTAACGATTATAAGAATATCTTTAGGAAATATTTTAGTTAAATTGATACTACAATTTAGTTTTTGTATTTAGCACTATAATTTTTCATTTTTAAGTATTCACAAAATATTCTTTGATTTTTTAAGTGGAACTGAAATTTATATTAAAGTTGACTTTGTAATGTCATATTTAAATTAACAATTTAATTATTTTGTCCAAACTATTCAAAGGTTGTAGCTTTAAATTGAGAATGATTTACATACAACAACATATCAAAAATATAATAAATTAAGTATAATATGTTAAAAGTTAAAGACAAAACTTTATAAGTAGAAGTAAAAATATTATTTTAATATTCAAAATTAATTTATATATGATTACACTTTAGGTTTGATACTTATTTAACCTTATTATCCAACTTATAATCATTATTAGAAAGACATTACAATTTATCACTTTTAACTATTTACAAAATATTTTTTAGGTTGTTTAAGTTGATCTAAAATTTATATTTAAATTTGATCTTGTAAGGTTATATTTAAAGTAATAATTTAAGTCTTTTATACAAATTATTCAAAAGTTGTAGCTTTAAAATGATAATGATTTACATACAATAACATATTAAACCTAATAAATTAAGGTGCTGTTTGTTTTTTGGAAAAACCTCTTCAAACCTCTTACTGCTGCGCGGCGCAGCACACGCGCAACACTTTAATCTCACAGCTGTTTGTTTTTTAGAAGTCTTCTGAGTCAAAAACCTCTGCACGTGCTCTGTTTGGCGCAGCACTTGTACTGCCTCTTCCAACCTCTTCTTCTTCTTTTTTTATTGCTGAAATTTTGATTATATGTTATTAAAATTTTATTTCACATTTTTTTTCCTTTTTTTTTCGTTTATTCTTATTGAATTTATTTTTAATTTTTTTTATATTCAATAATGATAATTTCTTGATGAAATATCATTATTTTTTACTGAAAATATCTTTATTTTTTGTTGAAATATCCTTCTTTTTTACTGAAATATCATTCTTTTTTACTGAAATATCATTAATTTTTACCGAAATGTTATACATTATTAAATTTTACGTATTAAAAAGCTATTTTCGGTTTATAAAATTAGTTTATTTTGATTTTTTTATATCTGCAGCAGTATGCAGATGTTAAAAAAACAAACACGCTTCTTATTATAGTCTGCAGCCATTTGGTCCACCTCTTCTACTGCCGAGGGTTGCAGAGGTGGTCCGCAGACTTCATGAATTTTTGCTTCAGAAAATCAAACAGCACCTAAGTATAATATGTAAAATGTTAAAGCATAACTTTATAAGTAGAAGAAAATATATTCTTTTAATATTGAAATTTATTTTATATATGATTACACTTTAGGTCTTATATTTATTTATGCTTATTAACCAACTTATAATCATTATTAAAAAGAAATTGAAAAGTCATGGGAGTTTCAAATGAATGTGGTTAAAGGAAAAATGAATGGGAGTTTGAAATGTATGAGATTCAAGAAAAAATATTAGCTTTATATATATATATATATATATATATATATATATATATATATATATATATATATGGTTTTTGTTTATATGTTTTAACAATTAATTCGTTAATCTTATTAAATATATTACAATGGAAAGTTTATGTTGGAGAAGTCAAATTAATTTGGCCGACTTATTGGATATTTTTTTAGACTACCTAAATTAAGGTTATTACTAAATTTATATTTATTATTATTTAAAAGAGTTGATCTACCAATTTTATCGATATATATATATATATATATATATATATATATATATATATATATATATATATATATATATATATATATATATATATACACTTAAATTATTTTGTTTTTATTAAGTATGTTGTGCCAGAATGCACAGATCTGGACCAATGGATAAAATTAATCAGTGGACATGATTTGAGAGTGTATGATATTAAAATGGGGTAACATGTAGCATATAATCACACAATTTTAAGCAAAAGGGTATTCTGGACAATTAACTACATTTATAAAAGAAAATTTTCGGATTTTTAGGGATGATTAATTCTCCTAATTTAAAAAAAAATCTGAATTTTTTAATTAATTCAATTTCAATTTTTAGCCGATTTTATTCTGTCAAAATATTTTTTTATTAAAATGATGTTCTTTCAGAATTTTATTTTAATAGAATATTATTTTTTTAGAATGATGCTCTTTCAGAATTTTATTCTAATAGAATATTATTAAAGAATAACAAAATTTTTGAATCAGATGTTGAAAAATAACAAACATTCTAATATATTCTTATACATCCGAACGTAAATACAAATTCATACATATTCTTATAGACTAAAATCTTTATATATTTTAATATAATTATACATATTCTAAATGAATATCAAGGTTTTCAACGCCTTCTTCCAGCCATTCATATCACAAATACAACAAAAATTAATAATTGTTAAAAAAACATGTTATTTGCAATTAACTATCACTTAATATATTCTGGTAGAATACATAGAATATGACAGAATACATATAATACATTCTGGCAGAATACATCGATTTTATTCTGATAGAATATATAGAATACATTCAAAGGTATTGTATTTACTGCTAGTAATTCTGATAGAATGCATACCACAAGGTTAAATTCTTTAAATTCTCTTTCAGGCATTTCAACAAACACTTGTTAGACAATATCATCAAACAAGCCAAACACCATATTTGATTTACTTGCAATAGTTTACCTATAAACATAATTTCCAGCAACATGATTTAGAATGCATACCACAAGGTTGAAAGACTAAATTAATTTGTGTTGATGAAAAATAAAAAGGCACAAACAACCTACAATTGTACTCCATAACCGAAAGAAATATATATATATATATATATATATATATATATATATATATATATATATATATATATATATATATATATATATATATATATATATATATATATATATATATATATATATATATATATATATATATATATATGGAAGACCCATTAAAGCATAGAAATGTGGTTTTCATATAAGATATGAAAACATTAGTTTGTAAGAAAGAAGACCATCCACATAAAAGAAATTGAAACTCATCAACTTGAACACATGAATAAAGAATGTTACTTACATTATAAGGCCCTGATACAATAGTTTGAACCATACGAACTAACATCTTTTTCTATGCTTCTTTCTAACTGAAAGTGACTCATTAAGCAAGAAAGAACAAATTTTGGAATAAGTAACTGAAGTTCACTGAGACATTTTAACAAACAGTTGGTGTGCAAATCGGAATATTTTCAATTCCACCAACAGTTCACTGAGACAGCAAGTTGGTCCTTCTTTCAGGAATTTAGTCGAGCACCTTATGTGCATAGCGCGTTCCTCTTGAACACGTTAGGTTTTCCCTTCATTAACCATCCAATTCAGCGAACAATAGAAATAGATAATTTGAATCACAAGTTAACGGACCATAATTCATGAGAATTGAAGAGTTGTTACTAGATAAATAAGGGCATACGAAGTTTGCTCGATATGGAAAAGCTCTAGAGAACCGATAATCGAAGGAATTGTAGCAATGATGCAAAAACATACATCGGCTTCTTGTGACTCCAAAATTGCCTCGATGGTGAAGCTACATTCGATTGGAGATAGAGCCACCGAGAATAACATCTTCTTAATCAATGGAATGGGGAAACAGATTTGCAGCAAGAGGTATGACTACCTCTTTTGATCAGACGATGTTCATTCGTCCATAACAAAATTGGAGGAGGCATTTTACGTATGATGTAGAAGGCTAGGGTTAAATAGTTGGTCAAACAAATTTTTATGGTAATTTCCATAAATTAAGGGATTTTATTTTAATTAGCATGCTAAAGTTACATAATTACCCTTATTATAATTTTTAATTATTTAATTATTCCTAAATTCCTATTGGTGCATTCATGCACACAATAGTTGCTAAAAATACTTGAACCTATCTCTCTCTCTCTCTCTCTCTCTCTCTCTCGTTCTCTCTCTCTCTCTGTGTGTGTGTATATATATATATATAATATATATATATATATATATATATATATATATATATATATATATATGTGGAAAAAATCAATAGAGAATCATAATTATTTGTTATTCAAAGAACCAAATATTTTTTTCAATTTCTAGAGCTTATTCTTTATTGAAAAAAAATCTAAAAATATCTAAATTCATATATTAACATTGTAAATGTGAAACATATTTTTCGGATTCACCTTGTGAATCTGGATTCACGTTGTGAATTTTCAAAGATTCACATTGTGAATTTGACGTAAAAAAAATTGAATATAATATTATTGGAAAAATGATAAAAAGTTATGAATTTCTGTTTTTTTTTTTTTTTTTTTTTGATAAAAATAAGTTCTAAAAATTGAAAAAAAGATTGGTTACTTGGTTCCTTGGTTAATTATGGTTCTA